AACAATTTTAATAATCATTAAAAGAGAAAGTATTAGAGAGGTTTGATGTCCTGGTAGCAAGAAGATGCACTGTAATCCCGAAGGCATGCAGTTCAAATCCACCAGATGCTCCGCTGGTAAATGAGGGGCAATCTCCTCCTGTATCAGTGAGATTTGATTCAATGGTATACAACAAAAACAAAACAAAACAAACAAACAAAAAAGATGAAGTGTTCTTCCCCTTCCCCTGGAAACTCACTTCAAATAGATTTCCTGAACTGGCAAAGTAGCATAATAATTAAAATTGAGCCCTTTTATTTTTATATCCCTAATTTTTCCATTTTGAATGGTAGAATTTGTGTATATTTTATACAAATAGCATGTATTTTATATGTTTTTTGCAAACTTAGCTCCTTTGTATGTCAGTTCTTATGCATACTGCGTGAATGTGTGTGTGAAATATTCACATAGGTGCATTACATATGAAAATATGCTTCAGAAATATAATCTCTTTCCATTAGTTTACATATCTAGTCCTCACATAATGACTGTCTTGTTATCTGACATTCTGCACTTACAACAATAGTAACAAATCTTACTATCTGACTGTAGTAAAGATCTGTATCTGGCAGTAACAAAAGCTGAGGTGTGAGGTTAGAGTAATCCTGGCTGTAACAGTTAAGTTAGGTGTGCGTTAAGCTGGGCCACCCTCCCTGTGGTTTGGCAGTCATGTAATGATGCACTCTGGCTGTTATATAATAATGTATTTATTTTCCATCTTTTGATCTAATGTGCATCATCTGCCATTATTACATAATGTAATTTCTCACTTAATGGCCTTTGGAACCTAATCATGTCAATAACCAAAGAGAGGGTGCGTATTGTTCTAGAGATTCGAGCTGACAACCAGGAGGAAGTGTGAAATTCTTAGCTTCAAAGAATAGTTATATTACAAAGGTCTTTAGAACTTGCCATTCATGTGGGCAGATTGAATGTAGGAGTTAATCCTTCTGGCTCTTATTGATCCCAAGTGACTCAGATGATGAAAGAACACATAAAAAGAAATAATGAAGGGGAAAGAGAGTAGCAACACATGATAGGCATATCCTCTTGCTTTGGTAACATGGGGCTCCATGGAGAAGTGCCACTGCTGCTAACACAGCAGGACACCATGCCATCCACTCATTCAATGGGCAGAAACCATACTCTGCATAAGCAGAAATTGCTGGAGTGCTATTTGTACCCATTCTTTATTTCCACTAAACATATTATCAGCAATAGGCATTTCATTGGAAAATCTAAATGACAAATATTTACAAACCATTATCTTCTGTATCTGTTAAACAGACAATTAAATCAGGTAAAATCCCCTTCTCGATGAAGACTACCCATAGATCTTTCGTGGAAGGGCAGTTATCTACAATCCATCCTCCATATTTGGGGGCATCAACAAATCTGTTCTTATTTTTCTTCATTACCTAAGGAGAATCACACATTCATTTTAAAATCATAGCTTGACAAATCAAAGAAGGACATATGGTGAAAATGAAAGTATGCCATTTTTTTGGCTCTTAACCAAGAATTTTTGTCCCCTAAATAATACATGCGCTTTTTTATTTATAACAGTAATTACAATTAATAAATGCAATTGATTATAATATCTTTATGAAGAAATGCTCAAAATAGCTGGCAATAGGAGAGATGCAAATCAAAACCACAATAAGATATCATCTCACCATAGTAGCTGTGGTAAAATTTAACAGGGTGGCAAGCAATAAATGTTGGAGAGGATGTGGCGATATAGGAACTCTCATACATTGTTGGTGGGATTGTAAAATAGTACAATCACTCTGGAAGACAGTTTGGCACATTATAAAAAAGCTAAACATAGAGGTTCCATATGACCCAGTTATTCCAACGTTAGGAATACACCCTGAGAAAATGAGAACTGAGACACAGAGAGTTATACACAAGTGTTCATAGGAGCATTATTCACAATGTCAAGAAAAAGTCTTCTCTGTTCATTTGAAAAACTGGCAATCTGATCTCGGTTTTGTTAAACTCCTGTACAATAACAGAGCTTCAATTCACTACTTAATGACACTGCAAGCATTCCAACAGCAGAAGTATTTTAGTAGTGCAACCAGTAACTATGTATCTTCCATAGTAAACTCTAAAGAGAATGGAGAAAATTTCTGTCAAGGTTAAGTCTGGGTCTTCCACAGCTGTGAAAATGTCCCTCACTTCCATGCCATCTCTTCTTAGATGCCTCCTTTCAGCTTTCTTTTTTTTAAAATTTTTATTATTTTTTGTGTGTGTATCGTCAAGTCAGATCTGACTGGTACAGGAAGAGATTGCCCCTCCTTCTCCAGCAGAGCATCTGGTGGATTTGAACCACGGACCTCTGGAATTGTAGTGCAACTTCTTGCCACTAGGCCACCAGAGCTCCCTTTCATCTTTCAATTAGAGATGATAGCTTCTACCTTTGAAGACTTCCTAAACATCTCTATTTACCACTGGTGGTCTAGTGGTAAGAAGCTGTGCTGCAATTGCATAGGCACTTCGTTCAAATCCACAAGCTGCTCCATGAGAGAAGGATGGGCAATCTCCTCCTGTGCGATTAACTGCCTCTGAAAATCTGCTGGAGAGGGTCAGCTATGCATTGCTTCTGGCTCGATGGTACACAATATATGATAGTCCAGTTATTGGTTTGCACGTTGGTCTTCTCCACCTGGCTGATAGCTTCTTGCAGAAATTGTTGCTGATGAGTCAGTTTTCATTAATGGTGATTCCATGTGTTACAGAGTACACTGTTGTATAGGTTTTTCTTGCCTATAATATTTTTAACAGCACACAAAAATGATAGCAAACTTTATGGAAATAATTTGCCAAGCCATTTTTCTATGGAGCCTGAGCATGGGTTCAAATCACCGGCTTTTAGATTAGCAGTCTAAATGCTGTGTTCATTAATTTATCTTCTTGGAAGCAACAGTCAAGAAATAAAATGTCATATTGCATTGGACAAATCTTCTGTTTAAAGTGCTAACAAGCAAAGATGTCACTTTGAAGACTAAGGTGCACCTGACTGTAGTTTCAATAGCTCCCCATTCACATGAAAGTAGAACAATAAATAAGGAATACTGAAGAAGAACTGATGTCTTTGATGAATAATAATATTGAATATACTATGGACTGCCAAACAAATTCATGTTGGAAGAAGTACAGCAGGGAAAGGGAGAGATGATAAGACTTTGTCTCACCAGCCACTGGAGAAGGACATTATGCTTGGAAAATAGAGGGTCAGGGGGAAAGAAAAAAAAGAGGCAACTCTCAATGAGATGAACTGACACAGAAACTAAGACAATGGGCTGATGCACAGCAGTGAATGTCAGGATGGTTTGAGTCTAAGCAATGCTTTATTCTGTTGTACATGAGTCATTTTGACTCAGAGTGGACTTGATGGCACCAACCACCAACAAAAACATCTAACATCGTTCAGAACTCAGAGTGAGCCCTCATCATTGTTTCTGAGAGAACAAACTGATGATTGAACATGGAGAGGAGGAGGCAGAAGGGCCTGTATGAGAAGCTCAGAGGGAGAAAGGCACTCAGCCTGAGAACTGGATTATCAAGGAGGCTGGGAAAGCCTGGGTTCAAGAACACCCAGAATCTGTATGCTGTTGAGTGGTTCCATACTTTGATATAATCATTTAAAAGTCACATTAACTTCAAATAATAAGAAATACAGAAACAGTTCTTTCTGAGTCCAAATTGATTGCTTCTTTTAGCTTTGAATGCTTACTCAGGATGTCTGCACAAAACATCATATGGATAATTTGTTCATTATAAATCAGAGATGTACCATCAGTAGGATATTGCATTTGACGTTTTAGTTTCCTCTTGTTGTTGTTGTTATGTGACATTGAGTTGCTTGCGACTCATAGCGACTCTATGTATAACAGCCCTAAACTCCACTCTGTCCTGTGCCAATTGCACTGTCTCTGACACTCCCATCCCTATTACCCCAGTCACTGAATCAATCCACCTCATAGAGGGCCTTCCCCTCCTGCGCTGTCCCTCCACCCTCCCAAGCATGATGTCCTTCTCCAAGGACTGG